TATTTACCTGACCGACAGTAATGGCTGCAGAGGAGCCATTGGTGTCTGTTGTGTAAATACTCTGCACAGAGACCATCCTCCAGGGGCTGTGGCTCAGGCCTGTTTCTCCAAATCAGGCTGGCCCTGTGGCAGTCCCTGTTTACCCCTCCCCTGCCCCTGGGGGGCTGGTCCCTTCATTTTGAGGAGAGAATCATTCATTTTCGTCCTTGCCATTGGCTACTTACTACCACTAATGTATTAGGAGAAAGAAAAGAGTATCTGAGAATAAATGTGTGTAAGTCTTGGTCTCTGATGAAAGATTTTGTGCAGAAATGCACAGAATCATAAACTGTTTCTTTTGTGTCCTGCCCCTCAACTGGGATACTGCAAGTCCCAGTTGGTAATGTGAGCTCTATACTTATTTTCTGCAAACTTGTGACTAAAGTGTAAAGGTGTCAGTAGAAAAGAGAAACTCCGAAGATGTCGAAGGTAACAAGGGCAGGTGAAGCTCCACTGCAGTGAGGGTAGGGGTGTTTCCGGAGAAGGCTGTAATGATGGCAGGAGTGTGCAGTGGGTGCTCACCAATTGAGGGCCGACTTGGAAACTCACCAGCCTCCCTGCCAGAAGGGAGCATGCAGCCTACATTCTCCCCCACATACCTCTCGGTTTCTTTTTTCTTTTCCCTCCCTCCCTTCCTTCATTTTCTTTTCTTTGCTTTTAGAGAGAAAGGAAGGGAGAGAGAGACAAACATTGATGTGAGAGAGAAGCATCAGTTGGTTGCCTCCCATAGCACCTGGACTGGCGACTAAACACCCAGGCTGGGGATCTTAGGCACCTGGACCAGGGATCAAACCTGCAACATAGTTCTCTGCCCTGACTGGGAATCAAACCCTCAACCTTTTGGTTACGGGATGACGCTCCAACGAACTGAGCCACACTAACTAGCATTCTTTTTTCTTTTTTTAAGCCACATTGCATATGGATTAAAAGATAATTTTTTAAAAGTTTGAAATAGTCCATATTTACATAAAAGTTGGAAGTTTAATACAAAGAATTTTTTTTGAACCATTTGAGAGTTATGTTGCCAACCTAACGCCCCATCATCCTGAATATTTTTCATGTATTTCGTACACACAAGGACATTTTCCTGCATAACCAAAATGCAACTATTAAAACTAGGAAATTTTTATAACGTTACCTCCATCTAATCCTCAAACCCCGGTCAGGTTTTACCAGTTGTCCCAGTACTGTTTTTTGTAGCAAAATGATCTAGTTCAGAATTGTGCATTGCATTTAGCTATCAAGTCTCTTTAATCTTCTTTAGACTTACCGTGACCTTCATGACCTTGATACTTTTGAAGATTATAGGCTGTCCCTCAATTAGGGTTTGTCCTATATTTTCTATTGATTATATTTAGGTTATGCATCTTTGACAGGAATATCACAGAAATTATGCTTTGTTTTTCTCATTGCATCCTATCTTGTGGTGCATGATTTTGATTCCCCCTATTAATGAAGTTCATTTTGTTCAGTGGATTAAGGTGATGTCTGCCAGGCTTCCCCATTATAAACTTACTCTCTGTAATAATAAGCATTCTGTGGGGAAGTACTTCGAAACTATGTGAATATCCCTTATCAACCTTAAAGTTTATTTATTTCTTAATGGACTCATGGGTTTCCTTTTTATTCAACACATTATAATCTATTAATATTATTTATTTGCCATTGGGATCCCCTTCAAGCTGACTTCTGCATCCTTTTGATATGTTTTTATCATTGAGAATTTCCTTCCTTCCTGGCACAAGATGTTTCAGGTTGATCTTGTCCTTTCCCTGCCACAGCTCTGAAACCAGTCATTTCTCCAAAGAGCTCTGGAGACTGTTATTTAGAAGGTGACTGGGTGCTATGTGTGCTCATTACTATTGGAGTGTTGCTGCTCCCTGGCCCTTCAGCAGGCAACTAGAAAATATATATGCATGTGTTTATATATTTGTGTATGTGTGTGTACACATATCTGTATCTGTAGTCAATTGCATCTAGTTTTATTTTTATATGTTATATATCAGAAACTGAGTTGACACTGTTACCTTCAATTCTAATCTGACACCATGGATTTTTTTCCTTTTTCCATATTTTAATTCTGTCCTCTAATAGTGAGACACCTGCTTTCCATTACCCTTAATATATGCCCTTCTTTAATTAATTCTTCTGTATGTAAGTAATCTCCCATTGTGGTCACTGTTCACTCCCCTTCTTGAGTGCCTTTTTTACCCTGCCCATGACTCCCCACCTTAGACTCCTCCACCTGCCCCGTGGATGCCTTCCATACCCCACATGGGCTCTGACATGCTACATCACACCTTCCTGCATCTGTATGGATGCCCGCCTCACTTGTGCTCTCATATTAGCATCCAGACAGTTATGCTCCCCCCACTCCAGCTGTTGTTGACACTTACCTTCCTCTGCCACAACTGATGGCTCTAAAGCCATTAGATTGAATTTTTCAGGAAGGGAAGAGAAGAGGTACCCTCTGTTTCTTGGCTTGAGTTAAACTTGGTTTTTGGAAACAAGGGAAGTAGAGAGTCCAGCGACTGCTGACACATGGAGGCCTGGTCTCCTGAGGTCTGCTCTCAAGACATCCTACCAAGAGAAGCTATTTGATGTGGGTGAAATCAGGTGAGAAAAGCAAGGCTTACAGGCAAGAGGACCTCAGGCCATCAATATTATCGTCCATGGAAGGGGATGGAGCATATACTAGTATTTATTCTATGTGAGAGGTCTAGAGCATTCTAGGATGTAGGATTAATGTTAATCTCTGAGGTTGTCTTTTGCATTAAGTGGATTTATAGATCCAAAGTATGGGCGATCAAGGTTACCTAGGTGGGCATAGCTCAGTAAGATAGCAAATTATAGATCAATAATAGTAAGCTAATATTGACCCATAAATTTGTAAATCCAGTTTGACAATGGGAGAAGGTGAGTGCAGCTTCCACCTACTCTGCAGCCATCTTGGAGTCTCCCAATAGTAAACTAATATTTATTGAGCCCTTATGTGCCAGACACTGCTCTTAGTGCTTTATGTGTATCCTCTCATTTCAGTCTCACTTATGGAGTAGGAACTGTTATTACCATTTAATGAAGAACAGAGCTTGCCCATGGTGCCATGGCAAATAGGTGGGAAAGCCAGGACTCAAGCTTGGAAGCCCTCTTTAATCATGACACTAAATTGCCTGTAGCATATGGCACATGGATTCTGGTTGACTGTATACACTTAATACACTATATTTACACGTTAGAAAACATTAAGGCTTTAAGAAGTCCGTATGCATGACCTGCTTTCGAGGGGTTAAAGAAGTGTTCCACGGCCCCGAGGGACTTTGATCCAACCTAGAATGCCCAGTCTGAGCAGACCACTCTCTCCCCTCTCATCAAGGCTTCAGTACTGTTCAGGGGTGTTTGATGTGAAGAGTTATTTTGGCTTCCAGCTTTCAAAGGGATATTGGCCCATTTGCTTTCCAAGGGATTCCCTAATAAAACTCAAGCCACCTTTTTCTATCCTGAGATAAGTTTTGGCTGCATTTTTGGAGAGGCCATGAAGCTCTGGTGAAAACAAGCACTGTGCTTATGCAGGACCCATGAAAAACTTAAAATACTTTTCAGTCTTAGCTCTACTGCGTCCACATGGAATCTCGCCTATAGGGATAGGGAAATTGAGAACGCACACTAGCAAATATTTTAATAAATACACAGGCAAGCTATTGTAGCTCATTCAGTGAGATGGACGAGGCAAGATGAGAAGTGATAATTGGTATTGTCCCATGTGCGCTCAGGTAGTAAGGACCTTATTGCGCGGACTTCACGGACTGTTCTCTGCCTCTACCTTACATGGAGCAAGTGCCCATTTGCAGCCTTTCAGAAGCAAGCCTTTGGCGTTTGGCTCTGTAAGAATGGGGTTCCAAAGGCATAAACTATGGCCATTTCTGTACTGGTGGTGAAATTTGTTTGATTTTGAGGGAATTTGAGCATTTGATATAAAAGAGGGGAAAACACAACATTTCTGCTTTGTTCCCGTTTTGGTTTTTTTTAAAGGAAACTTGAGTTATTTAAAACTTAGGCTTTGATTTTTATATTTTGTTAGCCCTCTAAGGAGCAGACATTCTACAAATTTAAAGGGAAAACTTGAAAAGTCATTTGGATTTTTTTTTTGCACATGTTCACTCAGAAATTTACTAGACTTTTAGCAATGCTCCCATTACTGCCACATCTGGGTTTTCTCTTTTTCTTTCCTATTTAAAAAAGTCCTGCAGTCATTCAAGGCCTGTAGTAGAGAGCGAGTCTAAAAGCAGCAAGTGGGAAGGCCTAAGGCTGTCGCCAGCTGTGCTCTGCAGGCCTTATTCGTTCTCCCAGGGTGCCACTTTCTGGCTTGGGGGCTGGGGAATCAGCAGAATATCATGAGGAAGCTCCCCTGTGATTGGCTCTGTTTGCTTTCACATTGGAGAAGGAAGGATGGTGTGTGGAGATGTCAAGATACAGACAGGAAAGCTAGGGACAGATGATTTGGAATGGAGCTGAGGAGAGAATCTTGGGTATTTTCACTGTCTGTCTGAGTCTCCTTAGCTCCCAGGACTGACTGTGCAACTGGGTCACCTCACGTTACTTTGAGAACCTTAGCTTTAATGTTAACCTCACCACTTGAGAAGTGAGCACAGAATTTTTCTCTCTTCTCTTTTGAACTTTAGAGCACCATTTAAAGGTGAAGGCCAGTGTTGCATGTTGTTTTGAGGATGATCTGGGAGACCCCAAGCAGTCATCATGCTGCAGGGGCCAGAATTAGGGTCTTGAACTTCAGTAATGAATACTGTGATTTAGAAAAGGGGCCCAGGAACAAACTGGGGAGTGGTTCATGTTGTGTGACTATCCCTGAAAACTAGATGGAACAGGGCCACAGTGGGAGGGGAGTAACCCAGGCTCTCTGTTTTTTTGTTTTGTTTTGTTTTGTTTTTAAATTTTCCTCCCCTAAGTTTTAGATGCTTCTGGATATTCAATGCTAGCACCTTTGCAGACTGGAGCAGCTCGATTTTCTTCATATTTACTTTCAAGAGCAAGAAAAGTGCTGGGCTCCCACTTATTTTCTCCCTGTGGTGTTCCGGAGTTCTGCTCCATATCCACCAGAAAGCTGGCGGCCCACGGCTTTGGCGCATCCATGGCGGCAATGGTGTCCTTCCCTCCCCAGAGGTATCACTACTTTTTAGTGCTGGACTTTGAGGCCACGTGCGACAAGCCACAGATTCAACCTCAGGTAACTGTTGCATCATTGCTTCAGAAAAGGTGGGGTGGTAAGGAGGGAGGGAGGATAGTCTTGCTTCCTGGGACCTAGAGGAACTTTCTCATGTCTTCCTGGCTTTTAGCTATTCATCTGGAGTTCCTGCCTAGGAAGCAGGACTTGGTTCAGGCACGCTAGGATAAGGCAGACCTGAAGTCTCTGGAGAGAACGGGGCACATTGTTTCTCTCTGGCCCTTAGCCTTTGGAAATCAAAATATTTCCTTTTGTCCCACCGTTCCTCTCTCCTTTCCCTTCCCTCTTATCCCACCGTTGCTATTGTGGTCAGCCTCTGAGGCGGTCCCCCAGCAATCCTTGCCCCTTGAGATTCATACTCTTGATAAATCCCCTCTCACACTGAATCAGAGCTAGCCCTGTATAACCAATACAATATAGTGTAAGAGACATTCTGAGGCTAAGTCATAAAAAGCATTGCAGCCCACTTGCTCTTTCGAGTCACTTGTTCTGGAAAAAGCCAGCCACCATGCTATGAGGACTTTCAAACAGCCCTGTGGAGAGGTACATGTGTATAGGAACTGAGGCTCTTAGCTAAAAGCCAGTACCACCTTGCCAGTCATGTTCCTTGGTGCTATCTTGGAAGTGGATCCACCAGTCCCAGTCAAGCCTTTAGATAACTCCAGCCCCAGTGGACATCTTACTTCATCCTCAGGACAGACCTGAGCCAGACTGGCTAACTGAGCCACTCCTGAATTCCTGGCTTACAGAAACTGAGAGATAACAAATGATTATTGATGTTTTATGCCAATGAATTTTGGGATGATTTGTTATGCAGTATTAGATAACCTGAACAAGTACAATTGTTGGTCTGTTGGAAAGGGACATTTTTTTACTTCTTGTTTTTTTCCCCTTAGTCACCAACTGTATTCAGAGGCCTTTTATGGTAGTGCTACTAGGAAGCTTGATTAGCAGCAGAGGGGCACCTATGTTAGGTGATCTCGGAGTGCTTGGTGTTTGCTTTGGAGGAATGATTGGGAGCTGATGCAGCAGTTCATTGTTGTGTGGGGACCTTGGGTGTGCCTGGCTCTAGGACAGTAACTCTTCCCTGTGGGCCTGGGTCATCAGTGTGTAATTCTGGGATTCATAGATATGTTGGTCTGGGCATAGTAAGGGGAAGTGGGGAAAAAAGGACTATGGCATCAGGCACTTGGGAGACAGGGAGGAGTATCCATTCAGAGATAAACTGGGTTCATGTCTCATGATTGATTTTTTTTCTTCCAGGAAGATGGTCTTTCTCTAGAACAGCAGATTGTTATCCCTAAAGCAGACACCACAGCCCCTTTCCCTTCCCCTTTCTCCTCTTCTGTTTCCTATTCTCCTTTAAAGTAGTGGTTTGCCTTTGAGGCATTGAAATCAGGCCTCCTGGCCTAGGAAGACAGAAGCAGATTGAGGAGCATGTCCTATGGCAAGGAAATTTGTATAAAAGCGAATAGAGCTTGGAAGCCACCTGAGCCACATTTACTTTCTCAGCCCATGCTGTAGGGTCTTCTTCTCTGTCTCCCAGAACTACAGGAGATTCTATGATGAGTGTACCTGCGTGATAGGTAGGAATTTTGGTTATGTAGGTTCTCTTAGGCTGGGAATCAGGGATTTATATCCTAATATACCATATTATTTCCCTTGCTGGTATAGAGTCTGAAATCCGTCATGTCCCTATTGATGTATTGATGAGAATCTGACCTTCTGGATTGCTTGGCACTTCCCTTACAGCCTTTCCTGTTTTCTGCCTCCTGGCAAGTGCCTATATATGTTTCTCAACTTTTCAATTAGATTATGAGCTCAGATAATTATGTAGCTCCGTTCTCTCGTTCTACAGAGGGTCCTACCAACGTTGCTGAAGGTGAAGCCTGATTCTTGTCTCAATTTGGTCTGTCAGTATCACCTTTTCATCTCTCTTTCAAGGTCATTGTTCTTTTTATTTTTTGTTCTTTTTATTTCTTTATTGCAATGATGAAGACATAATGCAGTACAGATTTAAATCACTTGTGTCACCAACTTCCTTCCCAGACTTAGACACCAAGGTCTTTCAGACTTAGGCTGAGGTGGGGCTTCATGCTGTTTACTAGGATCTGGCCTGATTAAAGATTATCTACAGAATCAATGAACCCTGATGATGCGATTCCAAGGGCACTTAAGGAATTGGCTGCCCTGGTTCATTATTAGCAAAGCATTAGCTGTTGCTTTAGAGAACTCAGGAAGAAGCATTTGCTGTCTTGCCTATCTTTATAAGGGGAATACGAATGATCTTGGAAATTATAGACCCGTTAGTTTACTGTGATTCCAGAGAAGATACTTGACCTGATCGTCAGATAATCAATCAACAAACAGCTAGAAGAGCATAGGGTACTAAGTAATAACTTACATGGGTTTGTGAAGAAGAGCAAATCCTGTCAGATCAATCTAACTTCTTGCTGTGACATAGTGATGGATTTGAGTGGATCTAGGGCAAGTGATAAATGTAATGCAGCTCTACTTCATTAAGCTTCTACAATGCTGTGATCAACAGGTAGGTAAGTGAATTTGGGGCCAGGCAGCTCTGCTGGACTACCCATTGAACCAGTCTCGGGAAAGGGATGGGTAGCTCAGGAGAGACTTGAGACTTAGTGGCAACATAAAGCCCCCATCCCTTCTGCTTAAAGGGGGGGAAAAAAATCTTCCCTAAAGGTTGCAGGTAGCAAGATCCTGAAAGGATTCGGGGAAAGTTTGGAAGATGGACTGGAGAACTTACCAGTCCCAGTTAGGCCGTTTTCCTCCCACTGAGGTCATCATGGTTCAGGTTCTCATTAGAGCCTCTGCTGTTTTGGTCGTCTGGTCAACAAGGACAGTGGAAAAATTAGAAAAGCTCAGGATAAGAGGAACAAAAAACATTAGAAGCACAAAAATAAGACTTAGGAAGAAAAGAGAGTGAATTTGGTTTTAGTGACTGATTTCTTGTCCAGACTAAATAAATTCATCACATGGGAAGTAATTGTTCCAAGGAATATGATAATAACTTGCTCTTCATTTTAATGAGGACAAAAAGAAATGAATTTAAGTGGAATTAGAAAAGATTGAGATTTGGGGTGAGGATGAACTTCTGAAGAGACAGTAAAAAGACTAGAAAATGTGTGCCAGTTAAGTCACCCTTCCCCAGTGCTCTCTCTGAATGCCTTGATGGTTGTCCACTTGACAGAGAGACTATGGGCATGGCTGTATGCCTCTTGGAATGGGCTTAGGACTGAATAAAACCAGCCCAGCTCCTCTCATGCCTGGCTACCAGGAGCTTTCAATACGTAAGACCTCTGCATAGTACACTTCTGATTCTTCTGCGAGTGTTTCGTACCCCTCAGTTATACGGGAGGCAGAAACAAATTTTGGGCCCGGGCCTACCTGGAATCTTGGCATTGGGTTCATTCTCTCATCTGCCTCTGGTTTTCAGAAGTCCCTGAATCAACTTACTGGGACTATCCTAAAGGAATGCCACTATGAAAAACTAACAGGTGTAAGCTCTGTTTTACTTGGGTAAGTAACAATATTGGTTATAAACATGGTAAAATGTGATATTTTCCATTTGTCGTCATTTTTGCTGTTTATTTTTGTACTTTGTTCAGCTAGGTGAAACTGGAATGGCAGGTTTGCCAGTAAAAGTTCTGGTTTTTGCACTCATTTTGTTTTACATGTTTTGATTTAGATTAACATAATAGGTATGGGTTGAATATGAGACTTTTTCCATTTGAAAACATTTTTTTCATTTAAATTTTAATTTAGGTGGTTTACACTGCTTTATAGACTCTAAATTTGAGGAATGTGATTCTTTTCCTGCTTTAGGAATTGTTTCCTGGTATCGAAGGAGGTTTTTATATGGCTTGGGAGAATCGTGGCTCTCCCTGCTAGCAGAAGTCAGGCTGCTCATTCTGCTGTGCATCGGATGGTGGTGGCTGTGACCACCAGGCCCAGGGAGCAGCCTGAAAGCTTTGGTGGGATCTTTAATTGTGCATCTTTAACCTGGGGGCAGTTGTCTCAACACCTCAGTGTTCAAAAAAGACCAAAGCAAATATAAGTGAAGAAAATGAAGTATAGGCCACCACACAAGCGGATTGGAAGCCCTGGCTGCTGCCTGCCCTCCCTCCCCGAGTTTCCTCTGGCCCCCCGTCAGGCTCCTGGGTCTAGCCTTTCTCTCATTGCTCTGCAGCAGCTGCTGACTGTTGCCTTTCTCATCTGTATTTAAGTGCCTGTAACTTTGGAGAAAGATGACTTTTGGGGTTGGGGTTTTTCTAGTGTTTGATCTTTGTCCACAAGGTTTTTTTTTTTTTTTTTTTTTTTTTAGAAAAACTTGAAGAGACTCCATCTGCATTTTCAGTTAAAACTATGAGCAAAGGAGTTTCTTTTTTATAGAGAATTGTCCAGATGCTGGGTGATTTTGGAAGGGTAGGGTCGGGGAGAGTGGATGGTGACTTGAGAAGGAATAATACAGAAGAGAGGCATTGGGAGAGTTTCAGTATGACTTAGAGCTGGCACATCATTATTAGTCCTTTGTGAAAGAGACACTTTTGAAAACTTTATAGGAAATTGGTTAAGATACCTACAAATGAAACTATGTTTATTCCCTTCCTCTCCATTCAAGGCTGAAAGGCAGGGATCCCCCTACTTCATAACCCTCACTCAATGCACACATATTGTTCTTGCTCTGTATTCAGCTTTTCCTTCTCTCTGCTCATGATTCCTGCACATACCAAGTGAATGGAAAGGCAGTTTCCTAGAAGAAGGACCCACCCTTCCCTCCCCACTCACTTGTCCTGGCTGCAGCTCCTCCAAATGGGAGGGGTCGGCCAGGCTTTTTAGCAGGAAAGCCCAGTTGTTGGGTTGTGGTCTGGCTGTGGCCCCAGTCAGCCTGTACTTTTTTCTGTACAGACAGGCGAAGGCACTGACGCTATTCTTCTAAACTGGGAAATGAAATGCAAAACCGACGTTAATGTAACATT